TTAGGTCAGGTTAACTCAGGAAATTGTGTACTTGGTTTGAAATAGCGAGGGGTTGCTGCATGCATGTATTTCTAGTATTAGTTTTATGAAATATGGAAATCCTGCTCCCAATAATCAATGCATCATGGCAGGTACAAATCACAATTTCTTCTTTTGAGCAGCTATGAGTGAATTCGGTGGAGTAGTGCAAAAAAAACGGAAGAGAACAGCTGGAAACATAATTATTTTAGTAATATATTAATATTATTTTTTAATTATTTGATTATTTTAATATTATTTTTTTATATATTTCATTTTTTTAATTAAAATATATTGCAATATATGTAACAGAGTAAACATGCATTAGAAAAACCAATTTACCCACCGCAGTACTTGAGCGTTATTAAAAATATGGCTGTTTTGCCCAATACCAAAAAAAGCATCCTCTCTGTGTCTCGTGGTACTCTACATGTACGATCCCGGAATCGCAGATATGCGTGCTGAGAAGGTGTTGCAAGTACTTCAGTTCTTGAATATTGGAATTATTTCGATTTTGTGGAATGTTGATCTGCATTTCCAGAATAGCGGGACATCGGCATTATTACATACATACACAGTATAAACGAAACAACTAACTGGATATTTGGATATTGCTTTGATTATTTTATGCCTTTTTTAATTAAACTATATTTAGTTTGTATAATTTTCTGTCGTATAGACGGGATTCCTAGAAAACCCAGGCAAATTTTAATTCTATGTTCGTCGCCTATAGCATGCTTGTTGCCCTTTTCCTCCCTTCTGTGGCCAGAACGCAATAAAAAGGCTATAGCTATATAGTTGGCCAATTAAGTACATGCATGCTTTGTCCGAAAGTTAGGTCACCCATTAAGACTTTGCGTATATACAAAATGTTTAAACAAATTATTCTGGTGTATGTACGTCTCATTGGTTAATCTTCTGTGTCAATCGTCAACAAGGCTGTTTGTCACCATTACCGCCGGATTTCAATTTTAAACAGAGTTCTAATATTAGAAAACTTGTAAAGCGCTAAGCAATCAGCATGATGTCTCGATTACGAACAAATTAATGAAAAAAGCATAGATATATCAATACAGCATGCATGTTAGTCAGGTAACAAATTCATTTGTGGCTTGAGCTAGCGCATGAAACGTTGGATTAATTTAGCGTCAGCTTACCAAAGGTGAGATTGTTATAAAAATCTTTTAAAACGTAGAGAAATATTACCAGGCTAAACTAACTATATTTTGAGGCATGAAATGTTATAGCGTATTTATTGCTGCATGCATTATTACGCTGGAAGAGAATTTTCTTTGCCATATAAAATGATAAAAGAAGAAAACACGTTGTTGAGAACGCTCACAGAAGATGTGATTTTGAAAGCCGTGCATGTGTACACGATTGTTTACGAGAAAATATTTCACTAACGAACTAAATCACTAACGAAACTCTGAAATTCATGTTTGGAAATGGCATGGAAACGGTTTCCATAACAAGTGTAGACACTGCACTTGTTTTTAGTCAAGGTTTAACATGAAAAGTCTATAACCCCTTGATCATCTCGACATCACCTTCAACATTCATGTTTTATTTCATACGTACAGTACGACCCCACTTCTGAGTAAGACAGTTGTGACTTAAAGCGTTGACGAATTAAAGTCACCATGGAAACGGTATATAAATATATTGTTAGCTTTCACAAGCAGAAATTGAATTGAAGATTCATGACGCAAATTTATAAAGCATTTATACGCATGCTTTTCTTTTCAGGAAAAACCCCCCAAATATCAAGCTTATACAACCTTACTTTGTGATCTACACCTGTCCGTACCCGAAAGCATTAATAAATCATCTCAAAAAGTGAATGACAACGCAATGGAAGCCAAAAGCCTAAACATTTATTTCAAGCAACAAGCAACAAAAGAAGTGGCTTTTCAAGTTCCGTTCAAAAGAAGAAAAATGACCGTAATTTCGTCATTTCCAAGCCACAGTGTCGTATTCTGAGTATCATTATAAAGAGTGAACAGAGAAACAACAACGAGCATATTTTTTGGTAAGTTGATAATTGACTTATTGTGCAGAATTAGATTTTTCCCCAGGATTTGCTGAGGTACATATTCCAAGTACAAAATGGAAAATTGTGCGTCGCTGTAATCGTTCGTGAATTTTTGCACTGGAAAAGGGTAAAGAAACTCAAAATATGCGGAAATCTTCAGTAAATCAGTAAAGTCTGAATATGATTTCGCTTGCACTTTTGTTTCAAAGCTGTCAACTTTACCCATCGAAAACAAATTGCCTACTACAAAAAAATGATTTAATTTCTGTCAATCTTTCGCTGAATGTTTACATGTTAAGGTGGCTCCATAAAGTTTCTCGAAATTTTTAGATGCGCATTTCAAACGGGGATATTCAGCATCTAAACGTTTGACTAGAAGACTAAAATTCTATGTAACTTTCTGGCAACATACCTAAAGGAGAAATCTTTTCAGAACTTGTGCTTGGCAGTCGTTGCTATAGGAACAGAGACGTCTCAAAATGGCCGCTAAAAAGCATTTAGTCGAGTTTATATCGCAAACGAGTTCGGTGACCCCCAATTTTTTTTCATTATAATTTTACACCATAGATGGTTTATCGATAGTAAAGTTTTAAAAAAATTCTGTCTGGTGCGATTTTTTTAAAAGGCTAAAATAACGTTCTTTGCAATAGAAAAAATCGCACTAGACAGAATTTTTTGAAAACTTTACTATCGATAAAGCATCTAGGGTGTAATATTATGATGAAAAAAAATTGGGAGTCATCGAACTCCTTTGCGATATAAACTCGATTAAATGCTTTTTAGCGGCCATTTTGAAACGTCTCTGATGCTATAGCAACGACTGCCAAGCACAAGTTTTGAATAGATTTTGGCTCTAGGTATGTTGCCAGAAAGATATATAAAATTTTAGTCTTCTAGTCAAACGTTTAGATGCTGAATATCCCTGTTTAAAATGTGCATTAAAATTTTCGAGAAACTGTAGGGAGACGCCAATTTCTCCTTTATCACTCTGAAGCAAAATTGTCCGACATTTTGTTTTTGCTACTCACTATAATATGAGCTGATATCTTCGACCTAATACCTGGCTTATGTTCAGCCCAACGGGATTCCCAAGTTGTTTGCCTTGGCCTGTGTACGTAAATATGCATTCCGGAAGTTTTAATAAAGATTTTTGGCCCAATTTCTATTTAACAAGACGCCTGATCTGGCGTTAACTCCGGCGCACGTGCCAGTCTTTAATATAGAGCTTCTGAACATAAACAATACAGTTCATATTCGCATTTAGATGCCTTGCGAGTTGCGAACCTATAAATGTTCGATTGCGAAATTTAGAAGCACACCGTACTTTAAAAAGTGTAGAAGTTCAATTGTTCAAAAATGTAAATAAACCGCGTGATACATTCGCTTTGTCTTACACTTTGCTTTTGGAATAGGCGCTTATACAGTTATATTAAATCTTCAATCCTGTGCAAACTACGACGTGTCAACGCGCCCATACACGACCACATCATCTTATTAAACGGCGAAATAGCAGCGATATTATTAAAATAGGAACAGAATCTACATGTATTAAATATATTCTCACCCCAATTCAATCTAAACTTAGTCGAACAGCATGAAAACAACGGTTTATTCGTTCCTCTTGGAGGAATTGCCGTATCTGCGAGCGAAATCGAATCGCGCATCGGAAAATTAGCCAAAGCTGTACACCACAACTCTTAGAAGATAAGACTGGAACGTAGATAAATACGGTTACATACACATTTCAAATACTAGAATGGTTCGCGCCATTTCAGACTTGCGACGACGAAAAATAATAAAAAAAAAAACAAAAACAAAACAAAACCGAGGCGAATTTTCAACTCCGTCGCTGACGCCGGAGTAATAATCATGTTTTCCACTGATCGCCAAATATATATTTGTCATACGTTTTTACATATTGTTTATTGTCTAATTACTGTAAATTACTGTATAACTTCGCTCATGCAGGTTACTTGGACAGTTCATTATAATTGATTTTTTTGTTTTTAGAAAAATGGCCTGGCGTTCAAAAGTAAAAAAAAAAATCAAGTTGTTTTCTAAACTGATGCGTGGGCCGCTGCTATACATGGTTGACATAGCCACCGATGTCTGGGTCGCAAAAGAATATTACCAAACTGGTGATATCTGGTGGTTCGGTTGGACAGTAATTTTCGTATGTCTTTCATTGATATGTGTCATTATTGCTGGAGTTTGTAAGGCAGGAAAGAAATACCCTGACAATAGGTGTAAAAGAGTATACCTCGGAATCTGCTTTCCCATCCACTATTTCCTTTATTATGTGAATCAACTTATACCCTGTCGCAATCGCGTGAATCTTGTTACTGAACGTTGCTCACTAAATTGCGAAAATGAAAACTGTGGGCAATGTAAAGAGCATCGTGAGCAAAAAAAGCATCAATCAGTAAAGTCTGAATATGATTTCGCTTGGCTTCGCCACATCGAGACAATTACGGAATCTGCGCCGCAATTGTGTCTGCAACTTTACGTTATGTTACGTGAGTGGCATTTCACAACAAACAGAATTATCTCAGGGTCTTTTTCACTGTTATCTATAGTCTGCAGTATCTACAACCTTGAAAACATGCGGCTAAAGAAGAACAACAAAAAAATTGCGCGCGAGAAAATTGCGCGGGTCTTTTTCGTGATTTGGCAACTGTTCGCTGTAGTGTCCAGATTATCTGCGATTGTTTATTGTGCATATGTTTTCGGACCTTACGTGTTTTTATTTATTTTGGTGCATTGGCTTTTAGCGACGTTGTGTTTACCTTTACATTTAGATTTAGAGGGAGTTTTCAGTTTCCTCCTTTTAAGCACGTCCAACTTTTTTTACATATCTGAAGCACTATTGCGTGTTTCAACTGACAGAAGGCCAATAATCCTGAAGATGAATCTTTCTCTGGCAATTCAAAACATTTTAATGCTGATTATGTCCCTTACTTTTGAACAATATGATGAAACAGTTAAGCGGATTGCAATATCTTGTATCTTGGGAGGACTGGTGTTGTGGACAGTCTTTTCAATCTGGTACTTCAGGTCATGGCGTCGAACACGAATTGCACCAACAGACGATCGTGTGGCAGACGCAGTTATTAACACAATGAATCGGCTTATCATAGTTGATGAGGCTAACAGAATTAATCATGCTAACAGAGTTAATGAGGATAACACAATAAATGAGCATAACACACTTAAAGGGGATAGTACAATTAATGAGGAAAACACAATTAATGAGGAAAACACAATTAATGAGGAAAACACAATTAACGAGGACAACACAATTAATGAGGATAACAGAATTAATGAGGATTGCACAATTAATGAGGAAAACACAATTAATGAGGAAAACACAATCAATGAGGAAAACACAATTAATGAGGAAAACACAATTAATGAGGATAACAGAATTAATGAGGATTGCACAATTAATGAGGATAACGCAATTAATGAGGAAAACACAATTAATGAGGAAAACACAATTAATGAGGATACCACTATAAATAAGGCTAGCACAATAAATGAGGATGGCACACTTAATGAGGATAGCACAATTAATGAGGATAACGCAATTGACGAGAATAACAGAGTTGGCGAGGTTAGGGCAATTAATTAAGATAACACAATTAATGTGGTTAATAACAGTTGGTGAGGTTAACACCATTAATGAGGATAATGAGGATAATTAAATCAACGAGGCAACACAGTTGGGAGTTATCATAATCATGGAGACTGATACAATGAAGAATGAACGTTAACAAACCATAATAATGGCGTTATGTAGTCTCGTATACGGCATTTTTTAGATCATTGCCAATGCATGCATTTAGGCCAATTTATATTTAATGGAGTTATGAAAATAATGCCATTGATATATTCAGGACTAGATTTTTCCTCGAAGGGAAGATTTTCTTGAAGGTAAGACGTTTCACGAAGATTAAGTTTTCGAACACAACACATAATTTTATGTTAATTAATTAATAAACACATGTAGCACTTTCACACGAAAACACGTTTATTTCAACCCACTTTAAAGACCTGTCGCAGGTTGCCTACAGGTTATCGACAGGCTTCTCAAATGGACGTTATAAAGACTACATTAATCATCAGTATTTTGAAGTATCAGCACTTTTATATTGTGCATTGTGAAAATTAAGTTGTAGTGAAATCAGTATAGCGTAGAAAGCCTGACGATTTTGTCCTGTCATGTAAATTTCGAATTATTTTATATTATATTAACACGAATAAAAGCCTATATCGTACACCACCAGGTTACTAATAGCAAAGACGTGCTATCTAAATACAGGATACTAATAGCAAAGACGTCTAAAGCCCGTTTTCTAATAGCTAGGAAATTTATTCGCGCGAACAAATAAAAAGTATAGGAAGCGATTCTACTTTTTTACGGCGAATTTTTTCGCAAACCAATCACACCACCTGATTTTAAAAATTGTTTCGCGTCGCGCGAATAAATTCGCCTAGTGGAAAACGAACTTAATACAGTGTGTCCTAACAGGGTGTCCCAAAAAATGATTATTGATTAAATATTTAACGGTAGCCGAATAACAGTTAATATATTCGGTACGGTAAGGTAAACGATAGAAACCGTTTATAATAATGGTGTTATAGGAAAACGACCCTATAGGCTCATTATCAAAACTTGTTCGTGATGCACTAAAAATATGTAAAGAACGCTAGCATTTATGAATTGTTATATTTATTAGCCTTTTAGTGCCAAAATAGGGTCATTATATACAAGTGCGTCTTGATAACGACAACCAATTGACAACGAGTACGCGACTACGAGTACAAGATTTGTCATTCACGTCTGTTTGCTTACGCCATCAGCCAAAAGACGTAGTCGCAGAGCTGTTGAGCATGATTTTGTTGATAAATCCCCCCGGAGATTAGGAATCACACCCGGGTATTGTGACAGAACATAGCGGAATCCAAAATTTGTACAAATTCTGTCATGGACGTTGGATTGTTTTCTTAGTTATGCGCATGCGTAAATACTTAATGAGTGAAACCGTTAATCAGCGGCGTACGGATTGGTGGAGTCAGAAATTTATATTTCAATAATAACGTCAGCAATTTAACTACAAATTCGCAAACATTTTGCTAGAACTCTTTTTAAAAATTACACCAAATAAAATGGGAAAATAATACAATTAAGATCCAGTAAAAATCATCAAGAAGCATTTATCAAAAACAAAAAGGTTTGCTCTTCAAGAATAAAAAGCGAAAAAGGAAGGATTTGTACTCTATAAAGGTTTAAAATGTTTTAATCAGGTAAGTGTCTATAAAGTATAGTTGTTTATAATATTCTGTGTTTGCTGCATGTGATGAAGGATGCAGTTTATTTATGTAATTAGCTTGATACACCGTTTTCCAAAGTCACAGTCGGATATGAAAGGCTTTTACACGTTGGGTCTAGTCGCGAACCGCAAAGCATCTATGGACTGTTTAGAGGGACAGGAAATATAATTCTGAAATCATTCGGCCAGTCCAAACAGTCCATAGATGCTTTGCAGTTCGCGACTAGACCCAGTATCCTGCTAGTTTGGGAAATGGCTAATGTTTTCTGCTGTGACAGCTGGCGTTAAAATTGTTTAAGATGCTAGCTTTTCATTTGTAGGAAAAATGTTCATAAAGTGCCCCAAAACTGCCTGGAATATGTTAAATATTCTTTTCATGTTGCCGTGTTTACGACAATTTTGATTATGGCAATTTAGTTGGAATTTGAGTGCATTAAGACAACAGTTACGCTTCATTATAACCTTCATTATCATCTCTTTATCAGTTTATCTATCGTTTCAGTCGCATTCATTGCAACCGAAATACGACAAATAAACGAAACACATACAAGAAATTGGCCTTGTTCCTTAATTTTTCGTTCATGCACCCAAATTGAATATTTCGGAATTTTTATTCTTACGTCTTACTCACGTCAAGGAAAACGTCTGTTTATGTGACAATTCACGCAGATATAATTGCATGTGACGCGGGTTGGTTTGTTGTATACAACGCATCCATGCATCCATCCATTGCTTTCATAGCTGATAAGGATACAAACTATCACGACATTTTAATAGTTCAAAATTTACACAGTTGGAACCGCATCGTAAGTATGAATCACCTTTGCTATATGCATGGAAGCGAAATTAAGTCATTTACTGGCAGAAAGGCCATAGCAAATTTCATAGCACAGGGGCGCCTTATTTTAAAAGTTAATCATTATTAATGATTAAGTAAAATAAATGTAAATTTTTTTAGCCTTAACCTTTGTGTTTATAAATATCGGGCGTATATATTGAAGAATCGCACTAGTTGTATCAGTGCTTTTATCAATTTCAAGTCACACCAAACCATTGCTTTCTACTTACAGATATTTTAATTGATGTACAATTGAGAGTTACTGCAAGTCTGCAAAAATATCGTAAAGGTGGGTGTAGAAGGTGGATTTAGCAGACGATAATTAACTGCCTGTGGCAGATCTCGTTGATGCAAAAACTCAATGTTTTCGTGTAAGTTTTATTCTTGCAGCAGCAAAACACAGGCCGGCGTTGAAAACTAAACGCTAAATTTGATTTCTAGACAGTTCAAGCAACATGAAAGCCATTACGGTGTTCTTGGTCTGCGCAATTTGCCAGGTAGCAGCGAACATTGGTCAAAACGGTAAGGCTTGCGAGGCTTATGGTTTCCATTTAGTCGTGGGTATCGTTAACATGTCAGGGTGGTTGATGTGATGTGTAGCCGGTTAGCATGCAATGAGCCATTTGCCGGAATACCGAAGTAAATTCGAATTTACATGGGCACGATTTCTTATCCGTGAAAATGGCATGTTCGATCACCAAATCAGCAGCATAAGCCAGCCTGAAATTAGCTATGCATATGTGTTGCTATTGGAGAGTTTTAGTTGGGCGTTTATGGCAAACTGCAAACGCATTTTAAACGTCGCTTACACCTAGGTCGAAAAGAACGTACATTTTAATAAGCTATCGAACTACGATATCATGGTAAACCACCATATTGCCAACCGTGTTATTGAATAGTGGTAGCCGCTTTCTTAATGAAAATCGGTAAACGCATTGAAAACGTGAACCTTAAACGTCAAACGGCAAAATTTCAACGTCAAGCCGCGGTTTGCGGTTAGCGGTTGATGATTAAAACATCAAATTAAAACTCTGCAATGTTGAAAACAATCAATTTCAAAAGAAATTAATAATCATTATGAATTTTTGCATTGTTAAATCTTAAGTCGTCATTATATTTCCATTGGTGCTGCTTCAGAAGATTGTTGTTCTTTGACTGCAACTTACTGAAAATTCAGGAACCTTTCCAGCTTTTTATATTTTCCCCAGAGCATGTAACATATTATATACGGCCATAGCTAGATGTCTAATGGAGGTGGGATTGCATATTCATACATTCACATTCCTAAAATAATTGCGTGAGCTTTCTATCGTCATCCCTGGTTGTAAATTTAAATATTATAAATCTCGCTTAGCCGAGAGTCAACGAAGCGTGTGATGGCTTTGAGTGTCGAAATAAGTCTATATGAGACCAAACAAGAACATTCTATTTGGGAACCTTAAGATTGACGTTTACGGGATACGCCAAACCGACATATTGTGTTGTAATTCCAATATCTTAAAGTGTGCAGGGTTTTGCTAAATTACAAACGTTCTACATAAAATTTGTGACGTTCAGCAGTGATATAAAAGAGCAATTGGCCGTTGCTGATGTTTTTAGCAAAGTAGAAAATTAAATTTGCCGTATGTGTTTCACGTTTGCCCTATAAAACTTCATGTTTGAAGGACTGCATACACCTACATCAGTTTAAGCATTAAATTAATTTTAAATGGCAAACGTGACATGCACATACGGAGCAAAGCTGAATTTACTGCTTTTACGTCAGAAATCCCAGCAATTGTTTTCGTATATCACTAGTCTTATCACAACATAAAGATAAAGAAGTTAAAACACAAAGTTTGTCAGCGGTTTAGCGTTTGCCATAACGCCAGTCTTAAGGTTTCTATCATCAGGATGGCTGAATTACTGCCAGAATCATGCTCGGTAAGGGCTTTTTTCCACTGTCGCGTTTTCTCTACCTATGTACAAGCACACGTAAAAGTTTCAAATCATTTAAATGTTACTTATGAAATTAACGATTGAATAGATGCATGGGGTTGCGTTTTGTGGATGATTTGATTTTTTTTCTGGCATAAAATTAAATTCTACAACATCTTGGAAGTTTTTACGGTCTTGACTTCCACTTTAAGTTTTTACGTACGTGCAAAAAAACACGACATTAGGAAGGAGCCCGAAGTATGTATACGTATGCTTTTATTCGTATATTTTAAAATTACAGTTGTATTCAACTTGGTTTCCCGGTTTAAACTTGTATAATTCCATTATAGCAGACGAATTTAAGAAGGAGACTACCGCAGCTTGGAGGAAACTACGTTCCGATGTTGTGAAACGTAGCCGTGGATGTAAGTTAGCTACGTTATACACGCGTGAACTATAAGCGCGATAATTTTGTCGTCGCTTGGAAATTTCAAGACAGAATACAACTTTTATACAGCTTATATGGAGTACTGGATTTAAAATTACGACACAAAATAGCCACGTCATATACATGCGTAAAAACGCTCAGGTTGATGCAAGTTGATATAAACAGGATGGAGTAATGTTGTGCTGCCCACATTGTTCAGAGTTGTTATCAATATTGAACAATATTGTTACACCCGATTCAGTTTTAACAATATTGTTCAATATTGATAACAACTCTGAACAATGTGGGCAGCACAACATTGCTCCATCCTGTTTATATCAACTTGCATCAACCTGAGCGTTTTTAGGCGTGTATAATTATGCATGCACATACATAATATTTATGCACGCTGTTTGAACATTACACACTGTTTGAAGATCTCATGTGATTCCGTCATGCCCTTGCTGGGCACAAAATACCTATATCAGAAGGACACCTGCATTAGTTTTTGCGTAAGGGACTCAGAAAGTACCGTAAATGGAAGCAATTACCCCCTGCCCATGGGGGTGAAAGCTTCCATTAACAGTACTTGCTGAGTCATGCAAAAAAAATAGAGTTGTCCCTCTGATAGGTATTCTGTGCCTTGGGATTTAAGCCTTCTGCTTTTGGTCATTACTATAGGACTATACTTTAATTAAATAGGTCATAAAAAATATTATGTTTGTTGAATGACGAGAAAGCTAATAGCGTGGAATGGCACGAATAATTTTAATCAATGATGCGTAATGCGGTGCTTCGGGAGACAAATTCTAATTTCTGATTTTACATTTTTCAGTTTGTCATTGGGGCGTTTTAGTTTGGTTCAAAGCAGGTGAAACTGTTCGCTGTGAATGTTTGAGATGGTGAGTCCAAATTCTTTGTAGTAAACAAGTGTCACTACCGCAGTATGGCGTTTCCAATGAGTCAAATTTCTATTTGTATACGGTGACATGTAAATACACCTGCTTCACCGCTAAATTATTCCGAAAAAAATTTAAATTTCCTGAGAGGCGTCAAATATACGACCATTTACCCCCAAATCTAAAAATGTAATCTTTTATTTTTTTAACTTCAGCAAATGTCTTGATGGTGGAATATGGTCATGCGCATACGTGTTCGAATACTGTCCACACTGATGTAAGTACTTAGACATGATGTGCTATTGGGCAGTCGTTCTTCTTACGACCATGATTGTGCGCAGTAATTCACGTACAGTATGGTAATTAGAATTCATATTATCTTTTTACACGCTGCATGCTTCTCATTGGCATATTTCATATATCATGGCGGACGAAAAAGATAAATTGTTCTTGAAATATCGTGCCATGACAAAAATACTTTTCAAAAGAATTGCAACAATGCACAAACAACAAGGGGAGTTTCGTTTTAGCAACATTTGGTTTTGAAATGTGTCCATTCAAAAGAAAAAGACTAGTTTTAGTTTAGATTATTTTTTTCTGAATGCACACGTCTCAAAAGACGGGAATAACAAAGTCTGGCAACATAACACAGTTTTCATTTATGCATTGGAAAATATGTTTTAACATGTTGTTTGATTTCTACGCATCTTCTTTCCTTTCATAGAAAAGACAGATTTGTCACGCAAAACAGATCATGCTCACACTCATTATAACGCTTATTATACACTCTAAAAAAAGGGTGTGCTGTAGTAACACACCTTTTTTGTCCTCAAAACAGCACACCTTAAGGTGTGCAAAATAGCACACCTTGTGTGTTTCATAACACATGAAAAGGTGTGTTGTTAGCTTGTCCTCATTTTAACACACCTTAAGATGTGTTCTACCATTAGGTGTGTTAGTTAGCACATCAAGGCGTGTTATTTAGCACACCCATGTGTGTTGTCTAGCACACCTTGCTGTGCTAAAATCACAACTTAAGGTGTGTTATTTAGCACACCAAAGTGTGCTATTAAACACATTGGGTGTGTTAAATGTGCCTATGGCAACTATGGGCATATCATATATGAGGGATGCTTCTTAGTCCGCACTGTTGTGCCTGTTAAGTGGATTGTCCTTTTTTATTCAGAGCTTATCAAAGTGGCTGTTCAATAATTCAATTGCTCAATATCAAATTATTGTCATGCACTGAATAACATAATGATTAAACCCAAAATTGGATTCTTCAGGCACTTTTGAACAATCCAGATGTTATGAATGAAGTTGACAATCCTCATTCTTCTGATGATGGTATAATGAGAGATATCATGGATGGAGAATTTTTCAGAAACCATCCAATATTTTCCAAAAATAATAAAGCCCTACAGCTTCTTGGTTATTATGATGACTTAGAATTAGCAAATCCATTGGGATCCAAGGCAAAGATTCACAAAATTGGTAAGTGTGAATATATTATTCTTGTTATAAGTTTATATTGTTTTTTTAAATTTTAACATATTTTATTAATAGGTGTTTTCTATTACATGCTTGGGAATATACGACCATTATATCGGTCCTCGACAAGAACAATTCAGTTGCTTTCTATTGCGAAGACCTCTGACTTGAAATTGTATGGCATAAATGCATTACTTGCGCCAACTGTTGAAGAAGTTAACAAATTAACTAAGGTATGTTAATTGATAATAATGCAATCATATGTTAATAATGATATGTATATTGATGCATATATAGCTGATTTGTATAGGCAACTTGATAGGAATATTTCAACCCTCTCCTGTTTATAGGAGCAAGGATATAGCTTTATCATTGATGGTGTTGAAAGAAAGTTTCAAGGGGATCTACTCCTTTGGAGTGGGGATACTTTAGCAAGTCAACAGATTGCAGGGTTTAAAGAGGGAGTTGGAGGTGCACTTCGCTTTTGTAGGTCTTGCCTGGCAACAAGAGAAGAGAGTAATGAACAGGTAATGGTTTTTGGTTATTTAGGTCAGTATATGTATGTGCAAATTTAGGTACAATAGGGTATTTTTATGTCTCTTCAGTTCAGATCAGAGAACTTTCAGCCAAGAACCTTAAATACCCACATCCAAATTTGCCACATGTTGGATGATCCAGAAAATAGCAGTCATGTGAAAGATCGCATTTCAACAACTTATGGTGTTAATGGAAAGTCGGTGTTGGTCAATGCTGGAAACTTTGATGTTTGTCAATGCTTCCCACAGGATATTATGCATGTTCTGTTTGAAGGTGTTATTCCATACGAAATGAAGCTACTACTTAAGGTTATAGTAGATGAAAAGAAGTTCATTTCCCTAAAGGAATTAAACCACAGAATAGAAAGTTTTGATTATGGTTACATGAATGCAAAGAACAAGCCATCACAGATTGTCCGGGAGACTGTGAACTCTTCTGATTCAAAACTTAAGCAAAGTGGTATGATAGAAAATTCATTTATTTTCCTTCTTGAATTGTAAGGCAACAGAACATTTTCAGAAACTTCAATTCTTTTTTATTTTAGCTTCACAGATGTGGTGCCTTTTCAGATTCTTTCCAATAATCGTGGGGGATCTGATTGACAAGAATTTAAAGGAGTGGCACTGTTTTTTACAATTATGGAATATTGTTCAAGTTTGCACATCCCCTGCTATAAAGGAAGAAGATGTACCTTATTTAAAGGTTTTAATTGAGGAACACCACAGGAGTTTTAAAGAGATTTACCCAAATACATCTATTATACCTAAGATGCATTATTTGATTCATATACCTGATGATATGTCTAGGTAGGATTCTATGAAGCACAGATTAACACTGATGTGAAACATGATTACACCTAAATGACAATGATCGATATAAATATGTAATGTGTTTTCTATTTAGGTTTGGGCCTCCGAGAAATTTTTGGTCCATGAGATTTGAAGCCAAGCATTCATTTATGAAGCAATGTGTGACAAAATGTTTTAAAAATGTTTGCAAGACGCTGGCAAATCGTCACCAACGGTATGTATTCAGTAATTAACAAGTAAATTAGATCAGTCAGTAAATAAAATCAGATACTCTGTTTTCTGTTTAGGTATATGTGTTGGAATTTGTTAAAAATGCCAGGGCAGATATTTACAAATTTTCTATATGATGGTGATATAGTTCCTCCCGGTAAGTGTGGTTAGCATGATCATGCATATTTTGAGTGAAAATTTGGTTGATTATATAAAATATAATTACATAAAATATAATAACAGTCATAAAATATTTTACTTGTTTAGGTAATCACAATGTTAATCTGAAGGAACATCTTCAAATCAACATGATTCGAGAGTCTGCTAAGATACCTGAAACTGATGGTCCAATAATAGGAAGCAGGTATTCTATTGTTGTAGTAGTTACATTGTATGCATTTTATTTTCAAGGTTCACTGAGGGGACAGGACAAAGGAAACTAGCACCACCAGTTGGGTCGAAAAAACTGAAGAAATCTGGAAAACATGCGGTGAAATAAGTATAATATTAAATATTTTTTTTTTGAATTTATTACAGCTTGGGGTCTGTGACAATTCATGGAGTGGAATTCAGGATTGGTTGCGCCTTGCGGCTTCTTGACATAGATGAAGATTGTGGAAGAGATTACCCCCTGTATGCTCTATTGGATGAAATAATCATATGGAATGATGAAAAATTTTTTATTGTCAATCTTCTCCATGTAACATCATTTTGGCATCATTACATGGGATATGAAGTTGGTAGAAGCTATGAGAAAAGAGTTGTGTCTCCCAACCAACTTCCATGGCATGGGGTTTTAAATTTAATAAAAAAGGAAGGGAAATTATTTATTGTAGAAAGGAACTCTAGAATGATTGAGGAATTACTGGTGTGACACTAAAGAAACAGTGCTAAAAACGTGATTTGCCACTTATTATAATGAATATAAGAATATTATTTAATAGTATTATTTATTGCGTTAATAGTTTTTCTACATGAAAATCATTGTTCAGAAATATTAATCTAACCCGACGTACGGGATAGCCACCTGACACATCTGGTTGTATTTTAATCCACGCGTAATAAGCCTATACTCAGGCGTTCGCCCGGCTGAGGGTTGCAGAAAATTGGTAGAGGCATAATACAAAGACCTGCAAAAATCAGTGGGAATTGCCATAATTGGAGAATTTTAACGAAATGTTTTAAAATATCCGCCATTCTCAACTGAGTGTGCGATTGCTTGATAGAAAGTCGCGTTCTCTGGCCTGAGACACCTTAAAAAACTCAGCGACCATTTTATAGTCCGCGCTAGAAAAATAGCTAATACACTACAATAATTTACTAGTCTTGCTTTCGCGTATCATGACTAATTGTGGTTTATGTTGGTTGTCACCTAAATGATAAAATGCTGATGTCGGATTATAACCTGGTGCGCTAATCCTTAACGAGTAAATGTGTGTTTGTGCACAAATCCGAAAGTGTGCTATTATAGAAACGTTTTAAAAAAAGGTGTGTTATTAGGAATAAAGTTTGCAAAGGTGTGCTATTTCCTTAATTACAAAAAGGTGTGTTTTGCAGAAGTGTGTTTTATAGAAAGGTGTGTTCTTAAAAGGTGTGCTGAAGGTCCATTTTCAAAAGGTGTGTTAGTGAGAGGGTGTGTTATTAAAAAATTGGTGTGTGTTTTTTAACAGGTGTGTTGGCTCTAAGGTGTGTTGAATTTGAAAGGTGTGCTAAATTAGCACACCTTTATGAAAAAAGGTGTGTTGAAATTTAAAGACAAAGATGTGCTTATGAAAAGGTGTGTTATATAACACAGTAACATGTGCTGTACAGCACACCTTGGTGTGTTCAACAGCACGCTAAGGCGTGTTAAAATTAATTTCTCATTATTTATAGCACACCTTGCGTGCTAAATAACACAGCAGTTGTGCTTTTTAGCACACCTTGGTGTGTTATTCAGCACAACTATTTTTTAGAGTGTACCAACAACTTTAGATTGCTATAGACGTAACTACGTTTGTAAATCTTATTATTTTTTTGTATGGTAATATCATGTACTAAAATCTCAAACTGTGGTCGAAAAGTTACTTGATGGGAGCGCTGTAAATCTACATTTGACGCAGCTTAAGTGCTTTTCGCACAAGAAGAGCTCTGAAACATACCAAAAATCCGGCATATAAATTTTACACTTTAAAAATTCATTTAAATCTCGACAAAAATATAATATTATGCTACTCAGATGGAGAATAAATCAGACTGCAATAATGGCAGTACAAATAATGTTACACTGAGGCGTAGTTAATATGATACGTTACATTTTGGTCGCGCAATTGAGATTCAATCAGATCGATAAGATATTCGGTTGAAACGTGGTTTATTGATAATTATACATGCTAAGGATCACAATTTTTCAGCAACATGTATACTGCAGTATCCAGCATTAAGACATCCTCTTCCAGATATGAGAGGCGAATATTTAAAATTACGAGCCATTGATGCTATCATATACTCATACAGGCTCCACTTTCACACGGAGAACCTGTGCACATGCAGGCTATGTAACGCTTACAGTTTCCGCTTTTACTCACTGCTATATGGTTCCAAGGTAATATTTGAAGCAAAAGATCTAGAGATCAACCTCGAAAACAAATCTTTGTCAATTTGATTGTTTTGTGAAATATTAGGACTTACAATGCGTCGCAAGTTTTACTGCACACGTCGGAATACATGGGGATCCGTTTCTTAACAAAATCCTCAATAGGTTGAGAAAGCTACTCAAACTCCAAAGATACAGATAAAAAGCGATTAAAATTAGGTGCATTCAGAAGTTAGCTTCAAACTGTGTCAGATTAATACAGTAATCGTTTAATCTTGCATGGTGAAGTGATTTCTCCTTCGAAAACTTTAAGAAGATGAAGTTCCTCTGCGTTCTCGCCTTTGTGTTAACAGTTGCGATGGTTTGTGAATGGCCAAAAGATATTATGGTTGAAGGTGATTTTTCCGAGGGTAAGTTGAGAATGTAACTCAGGGCTGGAAATCTCGGGGGCAATTGGTTTTTAAAACAATAATAAAGTGGTATATTATGTGCATCGCTTTGGTGTGGCTTATTTATTAGCAGAAATCTCGCACACGATTGTTCGCCGTTTCGATAACCATTCAAGACCATGCACAGTATTGATATCAATATGTTTATTTATATATGATTTAAATGTTAAAATTCGCCCTCACAAAATCTGAGAAGCTTATATTAATCCTCATCAATCTGTCGACTATAAGGGATCAACTAGAGTGATCATATTTAGCACAATTAGCAAACTATATCTTTTGATAAGCCAGATTTTTTTAAATTAAGCTGTTTGCCCTATATTATATATTTCTCAAGATTGATTGGTTTATTCAACATATAATGATCCGCTAATGTTTAAAAGACATAGTGCTTCAATGTTTACAGTGCTCCCTACTTCTTAAGACGACTTGTCCATGTTTACCGTACCGTTTGATATGTATTGACAGGATGAAAAATTGTGCGGATGCATGGCCAACAAGAGAGTGTGAACAACTCAAAATGCACGGGTTTTGCGCGGAGAGAAAAGTCGCTGAAAATTGCAAGGAGAATGTAGAAATTGTTAATGAGGTACTGAAATTCCCAAAATCCGTCATTTTTGCATCAACCTTCCCGCAAAAGGACTTTTCGTTTAGCAACTCGTCGAATCTTGGACCACGGATAGACGAATCACAAATTCTCGTCATGTTTCAAAAATGATATGAGTATTGAGTCTCTTTACCTCACTTTAGATCAGCTGTAATGGCAAGACAACGCAGGCGGGATAATAGAAAAACGGACGGGATAAATAAAAGTAGCTAGAAAATTGTTGTGAATTCGCCTTGCATGTTTTCTGAATAAATGCATTACACATAACATATGTGCAAATCCCCTAAGAGGTGCAAATATACACCTACAATCAATATACACTCATGGGGTATATTTACACCAAGTTTGGTGTAAATGCTCTTGCCTCTGTATTTACACAAAAACTCAATGGTGTATAGTTACACTGGAAGGGGTATATTTACACTTACCGTATCAATATACACCATGAGTGTTTTTAAACACCAAGTTGTGGGTAACACTATAAGGGAATATTTACACCGAAAAGTGTATATTTATACTTTATTGGGTCAATATACACCATAAGGTATATTTGATAACTATTGTGTTCACTGATGTAACGATCCTATGTATTTTGTTTATTTTAACGCTTGTTGACGTACATAACTAAATGAAACTTGTTCGCCAATAGGAGCTCGTTCAATCAAGTTCCATTGTTACAATTTAAATACGAATTACTAATTTCTACGTCGCATTTTGGTCGCATCGGATGTATTCAAAAAACAGATAATTAGATAAATTAATGAGGTTTATCTTCTCATTATCCATTGTTTTAATTGTATTCAACGCTACTAAAAGCGACGTATAAACTAGGCCTCACTCGGAAATGAATACGTCATGGACGGCCAGAAGGTTCAGCCAGATTGGCTGACGAAAACCTTTTTGGCCATGCTTTTGATGAAACCACATTAAAAGCACGATCAATTGATTGATATGCTGAGCGTTGCTATTAACCTTTTGGCTTTTCGCAATTAACTTTCGAAGCAGATTCGCTAAAAAACGCTTTTGATTTGTTAAAAAATGTTTTCGCGCTGTAAGACCTCCTTATGTAACCAACTACAACTCTACGGTGTAGCGAGATACATAAAACAACGATAAAAACTATCAGACTTACAACTTGTGCCTTCCTTGTTGATGAATACGCAAAATGAATGCAACACGATTCGATTTGTGACTCCGCATCACTTCAAGAGTCAATGATACACCATCTTTCTCTTGTTTCTCTTCTCACGTGTTGAGTTGATATCAAAAAGCACAAGAAACACTTCATCTCCTAAAAGTATCGATATATTTCGATTAATATGGAATGCACTTAGACGTCCTAGTTAGGTTCATTTACCTAATCTTTACGATCTATGATTTGCTTTGTGACAATTATTTAGTTGCTACATTTTATTTCTTCCTATCTTTACACCTCGCGCGAACAGATTTTCTAAGTTGTAAACAGATTAAATAGATGTAGGTAAAAAAATGCCCCTTCCCCCCTTGGAGCACCAGTAGGAGACATAATCTCTCGTAAAGATTCTCAGGTTCAGGTTAGGGATATCGGCGTATGAAGCGGGTGGTTGAGTTGAAAGTTGGCTGTTGACAAGTTGGCCAACTTGCACTAGAAATTTACGCAATTTTTGCTAACATCATTGACAACCCGAGCTATTTGCATTTGTGCTCAAGAATCAAGCAATATCTGCTGCATGAAGTGGTTGTCCAAACCACTGAATGTTCTAAAGTAGAGCATGTACACTTATAGACATAATTCCGGTTGCTTCTACATTGGGTTAAAAAGCAGGGTGCATACCTCCACATCTGAATTTGCTTACGTTGATTGAAAGCATCGATAACCACTAAACTATCCATTCAATTCGGTGTAATACTTAATATAAGTCAAACATCTCTTAATATATGGTTCTTTTATACAAAGAGACAGGATTAGCTCAAACTTTATACATTTTGAATTTTTTCGTGAGCTGCATATCGCCCCAAACTGGGATTTCGTTACAGCAGTGTACATACCTCTTCGCCATCATCTGCTTTGCATATAGATAACTGTGCATAGATCGAAAGCACCAATGATTATTGCACTTCCCCTCCCATTTTTATATAATGTTCCGTGCAGTGCCAAGTGATTTATATATTTGATGATTTCAGATTCTTTGTTTGATAATAACTCTAATTTGCTTTGTCCTTGAGAGCTACGGATTAATTTAACTTATTTTAAAAAGAAGGTTTCAAACCGTACTTTAAAAAGTGAATCTAGATGCGTCAACTGAATTTGTATAAAAGATTTTATATAAAAAAGCATTTCTCAGCTGTTAAATATGGCCGTCGCCATATTTGTTTTGAAACATCATAGCCCCAGGCCACATCAAAAAGCGCGCCAATGTTTAATTTAAATTTAGCCTGCCCAGCGGGCGCCCGTTATGCTGCCTGATTATGAGGGGGAGATGGCAGAGAGAGGCATTAAAAGTGAACATGAACTCTCGAAGCTTGAAAATTCGATAAATATTTTCCAAATATTTGAATCAATACGCATCTTAGATTTAAGCTGTTTAATTCAGAAAAAGCTGTTTAATTTATCTAGATCACTGTCTAATCGAAAATATCAGATGTTTAAACAGTTCGTTCTAAGTTCATTAAACATTCAATGACGTTACAATAATTATGCTACGATATATGTGAAATTGGAACCTTACATTATTTATTTTTATTTTTACATCTACAGACTACAGACGTCCTCTTGTGGGACACAATCTAAATCTTTCTATATTTAATTGGCAATTAGCTAATTCTCTGAAATTTAGGTCTATTCGTGAAAATTGCCATTTAAATTAAAAGGAGCTGAGACGCTAACTTTAGCTGAAAATTTGGAAGCGACATGCAGACACATTAATCTGAAGATAGCGTTCTAGTGTTTTCCAGTTCAATTACATAAATATATTTCATCTAATAATTTTAGACCTGCAGAAAATGGTGGCAGATATTTCTTTCTCTTAAAAGTATAATTGGTTTAACATTATATATCTGCAAATTTTCCTTTGCGTTTAAAATATTTTTACGTTATTTCTATATATTTTTATAAGAAACATGATCAAACAAAAATTTTGATCACTAAACAGTAGCAAAACTTTGCTTTGTTTCGCCCGCTTACAATTCTACTTTTGAGGGATGGAATTTTGAAACTTTTGTGTTTACTACACTCTATAGACATGCACATGCTCCTTTCACTTACATTTTGAATATTCTTCACTAATTGGCATATCTTTGAAGTAGAATTGCATTGCAAATGTAAGGAAAAATTACGTCGTTTCGAAACCCGCCCTCGTTTTTTTTTGACACGTTTCGAAAGCCGCCCTTGTTTTTTTTTGACACAAATGCCTGTATTACAAAAACTATTGCCACGCAGCGGACAGTCGAAAATAATTTGTGTAGAAAATTTGCAGAACGTTCATACCACCATTTTTCATGAAAAACAACCTGTCAAAAATCACAATCAATTGTTGTAAAAAAAATTTCCTCAAGTATGATTAAGGTAGGGACCTTAAATTTGATGATGCACTGTTACAGATTGTTATCATTCGCCAATTTTTTTGGCCATCTCTTGTATTTTGTCGGCAATATTCTTGGCTTTCATTTCGTAATCTTGCGCTGTCGTCTGCTCGCCGTCTTTCTTATACAGGTCTGAGAGTATGTTGTAAACTTCAAGTTGCCATGGATGACTCTCAGGCCCAAACAACTTTTTCATCATTCTCGACGACTCCAGAAGCTTTTCTTTGGCTTCGCTAAAGCTTCCTGCTTTGTAAAGACACAAACCAACGATGCCCAGGACTCTAGCAATTTCAGGGTTGTGTAAATCACCTAGATGTTTTCTCATCGTCTCCAGACTTTGTTGTGCATACTCCAGGGCAAGATTATGATCCTTGTCGCTTAACGACAAGCATCGTGCTAAATTTTGCAACACGATTGAAATGAAAATTTCGTTTTCTGTTTTCTGGTACATTTCGAGAGCTTTCTTTAGATTTTTGTGCGCCTCATCGTAATCACCTTTCTCAAGCAGGCACCATCCAACATTGTTGAGAGACTCTGCAACTAAAGGATCGACTTCATCTTTGGATAGGCGATTTCTCATTTCCTGGGCTTCGCGAATCGACTGGAAAGCTTTATCCATCATTCCAAGATATACGAAACACAATCCAAGGTTATTCATCATTTCTGCTTTATCAAGGGTATCATTGGCTGGAAGGTGTTTGCTTGCCTTCTTATACATTTTGACAGCTTCGTCGAGCTTCCCCTGTTTTTGCTTGCACCAACCCATGAAATTGAGCGCCTTCACGAGTTTGTCCATTTGCATGACGTTTTTGTCCAAGAAATTCTGCAAACGGGTCTCCGCATCTCTATAGCGAAATGTTGAAAGGTAGCAATCTGCTAGGCAAATCAGGGTATCGACAAGCAGTTTAGCACTGTTTTCGTAATTACGGTTTGTGAGGACTTCAATGGTCGGTTTCAACAATTCAATTGCTCTCTGATAGTCTCCCTTTTCTTTCAAACAGTTCGCGATGTCATAATATATCTTGGAAATGGTAAAACTTATGCTGCTTTCACTAGTAAATTTCTTAAACAGACGCAAGCTTGTTTTGTAAGAAGCAATCGCAGATTCATATTCTTTTCTCTTTTTGTAGGCACTTCCTGCACTTCGAGCTAGTTGTGCAGCAACCGTGAGAGAAGATTCGTCATAATCTTTTACTTTGTCGATAGACGTAAAAACGACGTCCATTGCAGTTGCGATCACATCGATAAGGAACATATCGTTTTGAACTTTCTCCTTTTCCATTGCATCCAGCATCTTCTTCGCATCAATCTCATCAAGCTTGAATGCTTTCAATTCTTCCCCTCGTGGCGACAGTCTGTGAAACAACGTTTTTTGGCGACCGTTGCGCTTGACGACGTCTCTGAAAACTGCGTACCCATCGGTCGACTCGTTTACGAAATAATTCAACCAATACTTTATCTGAAATCGATGCGGAATTTCTGTTTTGGATGACCGAGGAGGTGCAACTGATAAAGCTGACGTTATTTTAGCTTCTTGACCATCTTTTCCAAATAGCTCTTTTGCTCTCGGAATAGCTTGTGCCAAGGGACAATTCCCACCGACACCTCCATCGACAAATTCGTTGTTGCCAATTCTGACCGGAGTGTGGAAGTAAACTGGAGCATTAGAAGTAGCAAGCAAAACCTGGTAAGTTTTATAAAGACGATAGTCTTCGCTTCTGGTATCGAACAAAATCAATTCTTCCTCGTTACCAATTTTCCTCGCAACAGCTCCGGCGACGCATTCCGAACCATTGATATTACGGAAATCTTCTAAGCTACTTTCACCAAACTGCTCTTCAAGTGCTTTCTTAACGTTATCTTGTGAATAGGTTGTAACCGGAATACTGGACAAACCAGGAATGTGTGTAAGAAACCAGTGAGACCACGACTTAGCAAAAATCGCTTTGGTCTTCTTTAGATACATCTCAATACACTCCTCGATAGTCATCGATTCTCTTTCACCATCTTCACTTTCTTTGCCTCCAACCAAACCAAAAGCAATCAGTGCGCCGGTGCTGGTACCAACAATCATCTCGTACACGTCTGTGGGATGAATCGGGTCGGTAACTGCTTTCATATCATCGATTAGCCGTCTTCGAATTTCAAGAGATGTCAAAGTAGTTTCTTCGTTTTCATCGTTTTCATCGTTTTCATCGTTTTCACCCCTCACAAGGTAGGACTTCACAGTATCTGGTCGTCTTAACACGATCGTTGCCAATCGGAAAACATCGTCCAGGATACACAATTCCATGATACCTCGGCTTCCACCACCATCAAAAGACAGAATATCAATATTCTTCTCAATTAAATCCATGCTGACTGTTCAGATCTCTGTATAAAAGTATACATAACTTCAACGTAAGTGATGAAATCAAAAATCTAATTATGAAAATACTGGATAAAATTTATAAATTAAATTTTTCTCATTGTTCCGCATAATTTATAAATATATGCACAACTTTTGACGTTTTTCTTAGCGAACGAAAAATCTCATTGCCGTTAAAAAGTATAAAAGCTAACTTGAGAATATTTTGAGAACTGACTAAACACTTTTGTCTCGGAGATGAAAAAACAGAATTGTATTTCGTTTGTATGGTTTACCCTAAGTAAAATAGCGACTGTTTTTGTGAGACAGCTCGTAAGTATTTGATATTAACAGTTCGCCAAAATATTATTATGGTACCAATTTTAATTGTAATAGTTCAGCAACTAGGCAAACATATATAAAAAGTACCACATGCATAATTAGCACTGAACAGTTAGTAATAACGATATAAAAGGCAATTTTTGGGTCCATACTTTTTAATATATAACGCTCTGGTTTCTAAAATTTGCCTCAATTATTTCTGCGCTACTTCCCACTAAATTTTGCATCCTCAATTGATAAAAAATAATCATAAACTGTTACTTAAAGCCCAGGAGTTTGACACAATTGGTGAGAATCGATGTTGACATGCATCAATGCATGCAGATTATAGATAAAATAAGAAACAAAATACGTGTAGGGATAATCCGCTAATATGTGGGAATATATCTCTCAAAATATATAGGCTACCAAGAGTGCCATTAGTCATTTAATATTATTTGCTAAATTCGTATGATTTTCTTATATACCTGAAAACTACCTTTTCCCTTCAGGTAATACATTTGGCGGGTACAAAAGTTGACAAGTTAAGGGGAAAAATATTCGATCATTGAGAAAACATACATCTAAACTCTGGATTAAAATACCACCTGCACCAACCTGCGCAAACCTGTGACAGCTCGAATATTTTTTCCTGTTTATATTGGACCAGATCTTATTATCGCACTACTATTAATTTGAACGTATTGCAGCCGTCTATAAGTCCCAAGTATTAAAATAACGTATTTGTACTATGTACACTTTATGTATACTTTTTAAGGTAGAATATTTCCTTTAAGTTGAAAAATAATGGAATAATTTTAATCAGCTTTTGTTTAATCGTTTGAAGTACTTATCAACTTTGACAAGCTTCGATTTACACTACAGTGAAATTTAAATCTTTTAGAAGACTTTATCCTGTTTCGCTTCGCCGATGGTAGCAAATGTTAAGAATCTGGTAGATATTCAATTTCTGTCTTACTCAAATAGTTACCACAAAGAATATGCTTATATATGCTTAGGTCTAAACGGTTCTTCACATATAAATTGAATCTGCATTATAGCTAACTATATACAAATGTAGCGTTCATCAAAATTTTGGGTAAGAAGGGAAGACTAGAACATCAGTATAGTTATGATAAGGATTGCACATTTATTCCCCGTCATCCTATATCTGTGTATACAACTGCATGGAGGTTAAAGACGTGACCGAAAAAATAAAAACAATCAATATTCAATACAAACCTCAATTTCACTTGTAAGAAGTGAGGACGTCTACAGAAAAACATTCATCTAAAGTATTCTAAACTGCGGATTAATATACTACAACTTTTCCCCAACTGCGCTAATCTGTGACAGCTCGAAAATATTTTCCTGTTTATATTGGACCAGATCTTATTATCGCACTGCTATAGTGCTACCTTTTCATTTGAACGTATTGCAGCTCTATATGTCCCAGGTATTAAAATAATGTATCTGTACATACTTTGTGTATACTTTTTAAGGTCGAATGTTTTCTTTAGGTTGAAAAATAATGGAAATAATTTTAATCCGCTTTCGTTTAATTATTTGAAGTACATATTAACTTTGACAAGCTTCGATTTAAACTATAGTGAAATTTAAATCTTTTAAAAGACTTTATCCTGTTTCGCTTTGCCGATGGTAGCTAATGTAAGATTCATGCTTAAGCCAGGCGCACATGCATGACGCGATTTTTGTGGCTTAGAAAGTAAATAAAATCGTACGACAAAAAACGCGTCGTGTGCGCTTGGCTTTTGGTGGCGTGCGTCGGGTTCAGAGAAGCTTAAATCTGCGTTTCACGTGAGTTCTTTGTAGGGAAAACGTGTGTCGAAAATCTAGACTTTATTCAATTTCGGTCTTATTCAAATAGCTACCACAAAGAATATGCTTATATGCTAAGGGTCTTAACCTATCAATTGAATTTTGAATCTGCATTATAACTACATTATACATTTTAGAGCGTTCATCAAAATTTCGCGTAGGAGGAGAAGGCTGGTATATATAGTTATGAGAAGGATTGCACATTTATCCCGCGTAATCTTATATCTGTGTATACAACTAAAAAGAGGTTAAAGATCACCTCTTCAGACGTGACCGAAAAATTAAAAACAATCAATATTCAATACAAACCTCGATTTCACTTGTAAAAAGCGAGGGCGTCTACAAAATTGTTCTTTTACCCAAAATCTTCGCGCCTTTAAAGACATGCAGTGCTCGAAAATTTCTAAATTCTAGAAAAAAATTAGGGAGAAAAAATAATCGTCACAGATTGACAAAATAAACGAAACAATTGTAGCTCTGCACTTTCTCACCGGACTCGTCCGGGCAAGTTTTATCGCACGTTTATCACAATCTCTGGTATAAATATATTCCATTCGGCACTAAGAACTGTGCATATTTGTGCATTTTAAAATCGCTGATTAGCTATATCAGCTGTTTAAGATGTTGCTTATTTTTAACACAAGCGGTCAGTCATATAGGTTTGCGCAAGGCAAATATGAAAAAACAATCCGCCTGATCACATAAAGAAGTAAGTATGAATGCATGTCATATACATGCACGGTTTCAAGCCAAACACGTTTTCTTCAAATTCCCAATGAATTATGTCAAAATGATCGATAACAAAGTTCGCTCCAAATGTTCTTCGAAGCCCACAAGTTTACTGAGAATCGATATACAACAGCTAGTGCCTTTTAAGGAATTTTAATGTCATTTGATATAGTTTCATATTTTAACAGTCTTTTTATATTTATATATAATTTTGAGTACTTACATTATTATGGCGTAAATAGCAGAAAATTTTATACTAGCTATATTATAAACTTAAACGAAAAACATGAAACTTAAACGTATGCATGTTTCAAGTTTTTCCATGATAATACAGGCTATATTATCTATTTATCTAATATCGATATTGTACATGCATGGATATCATGTTTCGTATAGATATATTGAAACATTTTAATTCGCAAGTTTCAGGAATATGAAAGTTTAAAATGACAGTTATCACGCGTATATCGATCGTGCAAGACCGAATAACATGTTAACTTTAGAAACATTTCTTTTATATCATATTCGATCATAAGATATATTCAGAGGTCTGTGGATTTTAATGTCCGCGAGATACATATAACGAGCCCGAACCTGTAACAGCTAATAAATTCGAGAACACAATTTCATATTTATTAGATAATTATAACTATTTCCGCAATCCAATCAAATCTCTGTTTCAAACATCCAAATGCTCAAGTGGCTCAATACAGACGGGTTTTTTTAAAATGTCCGTTTTGCAAGTCGAAGCAAATATTTTTATTAAACAGATTATATAGCTTATATAATAATATCCAGCGCAAACTGTGACAGGTTCGTTGAAAACATACTGGAGTATGTTTTCTGCGTGCCGTTCTGGATGACTTTATTAAGATGACATGCGCGCACTCATTCGATCACTCACTATATGTGTGCATCCCAAAGCCTGATCAGTTTTATCCTGATCGAGACCCGACTAATATTTTTGAATCGTGAAACTACATATATAATACCATATAGCTACATGATCAGAACTGTTAACAAAAGTACATCACTCGGAAGGAGACGTCTTGCAAACTTCATGAATTTTATTGTACATAGACCAATTGCGAAACTTAGTAACCGCGCCTTCGCTCAACATGGAAACGAGGCTTATTATGCAAAAAACAATATTTGTATTTTTTGTAGTACAAAGCTATTCGCCGAGTTATATGCCGTTTTTCGCCTTTGTTTTACATATTTTTCGATTCCTTTCAGCTTGGTTTCATCGTTGTTATCATAGTTTTCAGGTTAGGAAGTTTTGCCTTTCAATTGAGGCGTTTTTGTGGTGTTTTCATTAATCTTTTCGGCTGCTTTCGTCGGGGAAATATAGAAAAGGCCGACACAAACTCAGGTAAAAGTTTAGTTTTTCGAAACTATTTCGTCTCAAGTTTTGAAAATGTATTTCATTTTTCTCCCTCTTATTTATGCAAAATTTGGCGATATATGTTTGCTGCAAAATCTATGTTTTTTATGTCAAAAATTATTGAAAAGTCACGATCGAACAAACCACCATATGTTCACATTTCTCATCTAAAATTTTTTTATACCAATTTTATCGATCGATAAGATGTAATTTGACAGCAATTTTTTAGCTCAGCAAAAAAAATAGTAGAAATCTGTTGAGATAAAGATCTATAAGAGATAAAATAAGCAACGGAGTTTTATGTTTATTATCCCTGTGTATATACCCTTACGAAAAAAACACATGCAAACCACATGTGTTTCACATGTGTTTCACATGTGATCACATGTGCTTCACATGTGATCACATGTGCTTCACATGTGATCACATGTGATTATATGTGGTTCACATGTGGTTTTATGGAGGGTACATGTGAACCACATGTGCTTCACATGTGATCACATGTGCTTCACATGTGATCACATGTGATCACATGTGATCACATGTGATTATATGTAGTTCACATGTGGTTATATGGAGGGTACATGTGAACCACATGTGATGTACATGTGGTTATATTGGATACACATGAGGTTCACATGTGAAAACATGTGGTTCTATGAGGGCACATGTGAACCACATGTGATGCAGATGTGGTTATATGAGATACACATGTGGTTCACATGAGAAATGTCTCTACAAACAAGTGGTTCATATGTGATCACATGTGGTTTATATGCGATCACACAAGGCTTACATGTGAAAATGTATAAACCTATGTGAACGAAATGTGGTTGACATGAAAATGTATTTCAAACTAATAATGAATCAGCAAACTTCTGTAATGTGAATGCATACATATACCACATACCTATTCCCCAAATACACGTGCATAATCATCTAAATAATAGTTACTGCTTTGCTCAGTTTAAGTAACACTGTATATTTAAGTTGTCTTCTTATTTACAATTAATCTCTATCTAACATATTTGGTAATCTACAAATAAAGTTATTTACATCAAAACACTGCTGATTAAGACAATCCAGAAGATGTCTTGTGGATATTCATTGGATTGTCTATATATGCCGGGTTATTTAAATTATATCAAAATTCTGCTGCTTATTAAATGCTATAGTTTACAATAAAACAATAAGATAACTCAGCCTCGTTGGCTATGAGCGAATAGTAAACTCAGCCTCGTTGTAATAATACATTCGTCCTAATATTTATAAATCTGAGGCCAATCTCCGACCGGTGTAATAACCCCAACGACCGACAAGTGTGACGCCACATTAGGCGAAAACCCTGGGAACGAGGTTGCGCATTCGTTTCAAAATTCAAATTTTTTACAACGACATTCTTGGCTGTTCTACGAGGAGATTGCAATTTTATTTGATAAAAGACATAAAAGGATAATCTTTGTCACTCTCCTAATACGATTGGAAATGAAATAGGTGCTGGTTCACTGGATTGAGTCAAATAAGACAAGCATCTTAAAGAAAGAATATATTATTTAAAGACAAAAGTGTGCATGCTAAAACATCCCGAGAAGGATCGCATGGTTTTGTTTGGATACTCAAAGATGAATTCCCCAAAGACGGCATGGAAATCGTATTTTGAAACGTTTTGGCAGAAAGTGGTAAGCATCTCAGTGACACTTAAATAATAATATAAATAATAATTTAACCTAGGTCCGCATCGAATTGTATTATTGTAATCAGAAGATTGTTTATTCAACTTTATCAATCATCATTCATCTTCGTATAAATACTTCGCTCATACACACTAGTGATAGCCGGGAAATATCCTCAATAGCGGTGTAATAATGTTTTAGCAAAGAAAGAAGCAGAACATAGTGACATTATATGCGCTAGAAATATATTGTTTATAGTTTTTTCTAGATCAACATGTCCTTCCAACTGAGACTGGGATATATAGTCGTGTGGAATGTTATCTTCCAAACATGTGCACATCTCGCTCGCTCATACTTAGTTGTGTATAGCAATAAAATATTTGTGTATATATAAATTTTCTAAAGCGAGTATTTGTGTTTTTTCACAGATAGCAAGAATGAGTTACTAATGAAAACTTAGCTTGAATTGAGCAGTTGGAGGATAACAGTGATAATAACAGTGATGATAATAAAGCCAAGAAGAGGCGATTAGATGTGACCAGTGCTGACAATAAGAAACCAAAGAAGAATATAAAGGTTTGAAACATATTACCATTTGATATATACCGGTACACAATATGGTCTAAATTAGGGAATACCCCTTGCACCTTAACTTAATTCAATAACCTTTGGAGTCTTATAAACAGTAGCAATATTCTGTATACAGTATAGCAGAATTTTGTTTTTCTAAACACCTAATTTAGAAGAAATTAATGTATTTTTACATATGATATTTCAAATATTTTGTATGTTTTGGCTGGGTCTAAAAGCCTCACAGTATCAGATTGGTACTACCAACTGAGCAACATGGCCAGATGGATTTAAGACTTTAAAGAGGCAGTTTTAGCAGCACTTGCTGCAACCAAGAAAATATGTACACCATCAAAGTTCCACCATCTTTTCCTAAGATTCAAGCCTCTTTCTTGCCTCAGCCATTCCTTCCCTTAGCCATTCCCTAGGTCTGCACAACCTTATTCACTGTTGACCATGAACAACAGCAGTTTCTCAGAAGAATGGATTGTTATTTTGTTAATGTTTTTGTATACAGTAGATAACATTCTCACTTTCCATTTAATGTTTTATTTTGTAGGCAATGAAATTATATTTGACTTTAAATTATTTATTGCGATGAACTGCAATTGCTATTAATTAACAATCCTGTTTATATTTTTTCCAGCTTTTGTCATCATGAAATTTCCTCAAGCAAATAATACAATTTTAAAAGCTGTTATGACACAAGAGTGCAAAGAATTTAGGCTGTCAATGGAAAACCGAAGAAAGAATCAGGAAGATCTTAGCAACAATTAAGGACAGTAGGATGACTAAATAAATTATAGTATTATAATTCATTTTTTTATATTTACAGATGTATCTTTTACTCTTTAACATAGTCAAATGTTTCACTTCATTTTGTAATATGGTTTTCAATATATGTGCATTAATTTACTTCACCTGGTAATACTGTGTCTGAGTGATTTAATGATAATTAAAGGTGTCATGCAGTAGTTTGTGTGGATCACATGTGAACCACATGTGAACGTCAAAACAGACTAACATGTGAACCACATGTGGTTGTTCCAGATCCACATGTACTGAATCACATGTGACTCACATGTGATACTACCACATGTGATACTACCACATGTGAACCACATGTGATACCACCACATGTGAACCACATGTGATATAATGGTTCCAATTTCACATGTGAGTCACATGTGATTCCACATGTGGTTTTCGCATGTGTTTTTTTCGTAAGGGTAGACTACAGAGTACAGTACATGTGATGTGATGCCGACTGAAAAGCAAAACAACTCTTCAACTTGGCGCACATGCATGACATGGATAGTAAAATACTTATAAGTTATAACCAAAACATAATATCATTGTCTATTTTGAATTGCCATTTGAATATTCCTTTTCCGGCAATAACATACTATAAAGGTAGCCACAATGCGAGCTGCAGCGTTTTTTAAGATACACCTTTACATGATGGCAAAGCCGAAAGCGAAAAATATTTAAACCAGAGTTTTTCCGTTTACGATGGTGAACCGGACCCTTTCCTTTTCAAGTATTCCTGGTTAACCCTTATTAAACATCTATTGCATGGTAGTAGATAGAAAGAATAGTGTTTTGTACTAACAAAAATGCAGAATGCATTCGATGCATTCGAATTCGACTTTTATAAAATTCGGCCTTCAGGTCGGCATGCAAGCTATGCATCGTCTATACTTTATTAAAACGAAAATAAACAAAAACATTTCAGTCAGTTACTTTTGACCATTTTAACAGTATTACTGTGGTATAAAGAAAAAAATGCAGTGATATTTGTGAATGAATTTGAATAAATGAAGCCATTTCAGTCATCAGGTTTGAAATTATATAATCTGACTGTCACTTTTCAATAATTTTTGACATAAAAAAACATAGATTTTGCACCAAATATATATCGCCAAATTTTGCACAAATAAGAGAGAGAAAAATGAAATACATTTTCAAAACTTGAGACGAAATAGTTTGGAAAAACTAAATTTTTACCTGAGTTTGTGTCGGCCTTTTCCATACTTCCCCGACGAAAGCAGCCGAAAAGATTAATGAAAACACCACAAAAACGCCTCAAATGGAAGGCAAAACTTCCTAACCTGAAAACTATGATAACAACGATAAAACCAAGCTGAAAGGTATCGAAAAATATGTAAAACAAAGGCGAAAAACGGCATATAACTCGGCGAATAGCTTTGTACTACAAAAAATACAAATATTGTTTTTTGCATAATAAGCCTCGTTTCCATGTTGCACGAAGGCGCGGTCACTAAGTTTCGCAATTGGTCTATTTGAATCTATGTATTTGGAAAATGGCGTGAAATTATCGTTCCCAAAGTCCAAGTGGTCATTGCTATTGGTTTGCGATAAGCAGTTTAAAGCTTAACAATAAAGCATTCTGTCTGATGAAATAAAATTAAATACCGCGCGGAATTGATACCAATATATACAAATGCATGCAAAATTAAACCTACAATATCCAATACAATATCTGATATTTGACAGTTTCTAACTCTTTTGTCCTATTTCCCAACAAGTTACATAAAAAATAATGTTCATGGAGCTAAAAATCTTTGGAATATTTGAAAGTGATTTCTAAGAATCGATATGCATCAGTGCATGCTGTAAGGAATACTATTCTACATTAATCTGATAGATATCATTAAGTGCCCTCATCGTATTTCATAGAATTATTTTGAAATATCTTTTATCGTGTTTGTTTTGATTGAAAAGACTAGAATATTTTAGGAATTAATACTGTGATAGATCATAAGATACGCGTTACTCTGTGGATTGTAATCTCAAAACCTGTGTGAACCTGTAATAAATCGAAAGACGCGATTTCATACATTGGATTAAAAATCACTGCCGCTCAGACGCCTTTAAATTTTAATGCACTAATGCACACAGACTATGCTTATGCTAAGGCCTGATAAATTTATGCCTTTTTTGAGTAGTAAACTCGAGTCTCAATGATATAATTCCACACAATTAATCGCGGATTAAACAAAACATGGCACTGAGTGGGAGTCTATAATAGTTAAAACAATTACTGTCCGAAGAATACATCATCAAATATATTTTATTACTTCTATAATGCTATAGCAGTATGTCCCGGTGACTGCACACAACTTTCATGCAAGTATTTTTCTCAGATCACAACAGACCCCGCATATATTGACACTTCGCTACAGTAATAATGAAATGAATAAAAAATACTTACCTCGATTTGATTGGAATTGCCTTTATCACGTACACCGAGTCTGGACGTCTGCCGAAAACAATGTTTGATATTCCCCGAAGCTTTGAATATATTACCGAGAACCACAAGGTAGAATTTCGTTTTAGACCAATCAGCAAGTTTGTATACATTTTCAATAACCCAATCAGAATGCATTAGTTTTGATGAAAAGCTACAATATATACCATTTTACATGAAGTATTTAAATTTAAGGTATTGTGATTGGCTTTGCCTAAAAAATATGTAAACAAATATAGCGATTAGTTTAAAACAAAATTCCTCCGAGTTACCGGTATTTATAGTGTATATATAGCTACAACTCTCAGAGAAATCTGATATAAATCTACGCACTTGTTTCCAAGGAACAAACATTTTGACAATGGGTGGTGAATCAAATGTGTAACTAAGGATATGTGAACACATCGGTGGGGATATCGCCCGACATCCTTAAGCGCACATGCCCCTTCCCCGTGCCTCAAAGTCAGGACCCTCGTGTTAAGTTCGCCGGTGAGAACGAACAAAAAATGAGAACAGTGTTGAGCATCTTAAAACTTTTAGTGAACCGATAGTAATTTAAACTTAACATAGTAGATTAACATTATCCTATTTCATAATAATAACTTATCTGGTCTGATCAACATAATTCAAACGTTGACTGATAACTTGAACAGCGAATAGCTCTGTAGTTCGAAATCCATTTTGTCAGTTTAAATTATCATCGTCAGGTGTATGGCCATATATAGATTGAGCCTTCTTCTATTTAGCAGTATTTCTTTTCACAGTGATGTTATTCAGGCTAATGCCTTATATGAATCATGCATGATTTCTCTGGTTGTGCCCAGACTTTATACGCTTGCTAGGAGAAGAAACTATAAAACTACAAGTCATTTCCTCTACGCAATACAGTGCATTGCAGCACACGCTATCGTTGTTTGTGGCCGAGGCCTTGTTACACGTTTGTACGATAAGGTGCATGTGGATATATAGCTATTTGCTTACTCATGCGTTTAAGAAACCTGTTCTGAATATAAATATTTGCTTACTCATGCATGTATATCTAAGTTTACTAAAGTTCATCTAATATACAATATCATAATTACATGATATTACGATATAATGTAACACTGGTTAAAAGCATTCAAAACTGCAGTCAACAAATACAATCTATCATTTGGTTCACCGACTTTGGAAATGTATTTTTTTTGTTTTAAAGCCATCACGGGCATAAATAACCCGAAAACACCGGGAAATAGAATATCCCTACAAACTACATGATACCGTCCTAGAAAGCACCGTTCAAAAGCGTGACTTAGGAGCATGGACTTATTTCAATTTGACTTGGTTCAAACATGTTGAAAACCAATGTGCTCAATCAACGATAATGCTCGGATACATTAGGTGGTCTTCACTGATATAAAATCTACCTCGGTTCATTCGTACTTTGTATTTGACTCTTGTACGCTCAAAGCTATGCTATGCGTCTCAAATCTGGGCGCCGCAAACTGTGGAACTACAGTAAGCGACTCGAAATGTTAGACCTCGTTCCACTTTGCTACCGGCATGAATTTTTGGATCTGGTGTTCTATGTAACATCCCAGAAGTCGTTCTTTTCTAGGTGCGCGAGAGTATGGATTGTTCTTCCAAAAGGGCTGACAACGAAGAACATAAGTTTTTGTCGATTCAAAAACGATCTCTATAACTATTAGCATTCGGCCTTGAGTATATATGACGCCGAAAATCCTAGAACTTGGAAGTCTGCTTCTTGTAACGCGTCCCGTAATTTGTCTAATTCAAACCACAGTTAATAGAATGTACATGGTTTGGAGACTAAATAAAAGTACAATACAACTCATTAACTATGCTATTGTCCACGTTTATGCAAAAAATGGTTCCTTTCTCGTCACGTGTCTATTGTATTTTAGCCAAACGTACCAATGGCATTCGTCTTGCTAAGCTCATCAACCTTGACTTGAAAAATATGTTAATTATAAGATTGCTATTGGTTTATCTGTGCAAAATACAATAGACATGTGATGCGAAAGGAACAATTTTTTGCATAAGTGTGCCTCAACATAGTTAAGTAGTTGTATTGTAGTATTATATGGTCTCCAAACCATGTATATTTTATTAACTGTGTTCAAACTCACGCTGCTATTAATTAAAATGTGTGTCCTTGTGTTCGTTTTGTCCAGCTTTGTTACAGGTAAACTTCCTAACAGGTGGATATCCCTTCCTGTGTGATGTGAGCAATCATTTTACTTTCGTAAACTCACGAGTACATTTCTATACTGCTCCTATCATGAGGAAGATTTTCGTGAGTGTAAACTAGATATGGTGTGGAGATTGTATGATGTCGGTTTTATTTGTTTTGAAAGGGAAGCTGTAATTGGCGTGAGCGATAGCAATACCCTGCCACGAATATCAGTTTGTGAAAAGTGAATGCTCGTGTATTTGTATTAATTTTATGCCGTTTGTGTTTGTAGTACTGCATCTCTTTGTATTCAAGTGGCAAAGCAAAATAAATAAATAAATAAATAAAAACAATGTCAAAGGAGTGTAAATAAAAAAACAGTCTTAAAGCACTGGATTTGACTTGCATATACCAGTCTCCTTCAACTCATATCGAAAAAAAATTGAAACGATCCCAAAAAGGTATTTTGAAATCCTATATTTTTCTCGCTAAAAGCCCGCTTGAAACAGGATAGTATAAAAATATAGCCAAATTTTATCTGATATAATAACGTAAGGGGTCAGTTAAGGGGTAATTAATTAACCATAGCCGCAGAGAGAATAATTATTATATTAATTATTATGTCATATTATATAAATTATTTCAGCATGGCATTTGTAAATCGGTTTTTATATTTCCAGCCGATCATTACAAGGATAAAAACTACTTCTACTAGCTAAAATTGGAAAAAGTCGAAATCTTGTGCACATTAATGAATTAGTATGTAATAGTAAATTAATTAGTGTTGCGTTCTGTACATTAAAATTACTTTCATTTCGTAAAATCAGTGGTGAACCCGACAATAATCCCATTTAAAATCTTCCTCATTATTCATCATTCCCATCCTCACTCTGTTCACTCTCACAGGAGGAACCTTGTTCGTCAACAGAGGAAACGCTGGTGCTATGGCTTGGTCCTGGTAATTCTGATTTAATTTCGCGTGCTTTTTGTTGATATTCCTTAGCTTTCTCCATTTCACCTTTACGCATGCACGCACGACTTAGGTTCCCGTAGGAAGAAGCTACATCATCATGACTTGTTCCTAATTGTTCTATTCTGATTTTCAGTGCTCGTTCATGACAATCAATGGCAAGGTCTAATTCATCCTTATCCGCACACACCATACCCAGGTTATGGTAGGAATCGGCGACATCAATATGATTTGCACCTAATTGTTCTAATTGAATTTTCAGCGCACGTTGATGAAAATCCTTAGCTGTCTCCAGGTCATCTTTATCACTAAACACAGTGCCTAGGTTATTGTAAGAAAAAGCGATATCAACATGGTTAGGCCCGAAATGTTTTAATTGAATTTCTAACGCACGTTGATGAAAATCTTGAGCTTCATCCAGTTCACCATTATCACTACATACAGTTCCTAAGTTGTTCAGTGAAGATGCAATGTCAATATGCTTTGGCCCCAATTGTTCTAACTGAATTTGTAGAGCACGCTCATGATAATCCTTGGCAGTTTTCAGATCACCTTTGTCACTATATACAGTACCAAGATTGTTGTATGAAGAAGCTACATCGATATGGTTTGGTCCCAATAGTTCTAACTGAATTTTAAGTGCGCGTTCATGATAATCACCAGCCTTCTCAAGTTCACCTTTATCACTAAACACAGTAGCTAGGTTATTATATGAGGAAGCAACGTCGACATGGTTGGGTCCGAATTGCTTTAATTGGATTTCCAAGGCGCGTGTGTGATAGTTCTCGGCTTTTTTCAGGTCACCTTTATCGCTAAACACAGTTCCTAGGTTGTTGTATGAGGAAGCAACATCAATGTGGGTTGGCTCCAGTTCCTGTAATTGAATTTCTAGCGCCCTTTGATGATATTTCTCAGCTTTTTCCAGGTCACTTTTATCACTACACACTGTACCGAGGTTGTTATATGAGGAAGCGACATGAAGATGGTTTGGCCCTAATTGGTCCAATTGAATTTTCAGCGCACGTTGATGGTAATTCTCAGCACTGTCAAGGTCACCTTTATCACTAAATACTGTACCTAAGTTATTGTACGAAGAAGCAATGTTGATATAGTTCGGTCCTGGTTGCTCTAATTCAATTTCCAATGCTTTCTGTAGATAATTTTTCGCTTCGTTGAAATCTCCTAAATCATTATGTAAAAAACCAAGTTCGTTGTAAATAATCGCTAAACGAACGTCTTTTTCAGAATTCTTCCATAGTCGCATGTTGGAATTTTGAAATTCCATAGCCAGCCTAAACTCAGAAAATACACGTAAAGTTTGCCCAAAAAATAAATAGATCAGAGTAATTTCTGCTGGCTCAAAGCATAAACTGATGGAATGTAATGCATCCTCTTCAAATAATTCATTAACTTCCGTGTTAAATGTTTTCAAATGTGGTATTAATTTGATTTTATCTTCCCTATCCACAAAATAATGCATTGTTTGGACAACATCTTTCACAATATTTCGTCTGTTGCCATGACAAGCTACTTTGATTGCCTCGTGAACAACACGATGAAGGCGGATGTCTCGCTCTTTATTTCCAACGTGAATAAACAAGGAGCAATGCTTTATCGCAAGAAAAATTTCTTCGTCATCGGACTCTTTATCTTGTTGCAAAATGTATTTTAGAACAAGATCGCGTGGCAGTGGCTCAAAAGATATCAAAGAAAACAGATTGAATGTGTGTTTTAAAATCATACTACATTCCTGACACTTTTCCACGGCTAAAAGCACTGCTGCGGACATGGTGGACGAGTATGCAGAATTTATTCGGCGAAGAGGTTCTTCTGTTATTCTTCTTTTACCTTTTTTTAACTTTTCTAAATAGTCTAGCCATGAAAAATTAGGATTACAGTCTGGATCGAGAACTTGTCTCATGTACACTGCAGCTGCGGCCATTGCCAGAGGTTGACGATCCAACCTTTCTGAAACTTCATCTAAGATCGGATCTCCGCTATCCGTTTTCGATAGTAGAGCAAGAAGCTGGCGACAATCATGGTCATTCATGCCCAGGCTCAATGAAACATGCTTACAAAACAAACTGTCAGGTGGGACTGAAGTACTGTTTTGCGTCGTTAATATGATTTGACCATTTTTCAAAATCCTATCGCCCATCTTAGGAAGAAGTGACGAAATAAGCTCGAGATTCTCAACGTTATCTATTACAATCCACCACTTCTTCCAGTTCCTAATTTGAACCATCATTTGCGATCTTAGGTCTTTGATTTTCTCATTTTTTGACTTAGACGAGCTTAATATTCCTTCTAATACACTTTCGTTGCAATTTAACCGACGACAGAAATCTTCATAAGAGTAGAAAAGAGAGTCAACGTCTCTTCCGTCTAATGTCATTACAAACACCGATTCAGCTTGCCAATTAATACCGTTCCAAATATTTTCACAGACTTGCCTAGCTAGTTGAGATTTTCCACTTCCGGGATTCCCACTGATATAGAAATAGGTAAGTTTATCTCCGTTATCACAGCGTAACCTTCCGAGAACCTCTATCACCTCATGTACCTTTTCAGAACGTAGAACGACCTCATGATCCGGGTTAAGAGGAAGAACTTGAAACGATTTAAAACTGCTTCTATTCGTTTTCATTTGAATAATTTTTCTTATTGTAAGTCCTAAAGATTGAAAAGCATTTTCCACCCGAGTTATCATGGTTTTAAAATCCGCATCAGCGAGTTTACCTTCAGATATGTGCTTAATTTCATTTCTTAATGCTCTGAGATTGTCTACCTCAGTTTTGACAGTTGGATTAAGACTTTTTTTACCAATCGAGTTGGAGAAAAGAATTGCGTCGAAGAGGACAGAACAATCCCAGTCGTTTGTATCTCCGTCGTGAAATTTAGATTGGAATGTGTTCTTATTTGGCCTTGCTCGTGATTTCTCCAGATTAAACAACTGACTGCCACTTATGTTGGTGTTGTCCCATGCTCCCAACTTTGACTGGTAACGATTGTTCCATTCCCGAACAAAAATTTTCCTTAATTCTTCACTTACAACATTCGTAAAAATATCATCCATGAAAATATAGTTTCGTTTTTCGTTGTCTTCCCACGGTATAGTGGACATTTTGGATTCTAAAAACATACAGTCAAATCCTCTTAATATCGTAAATAACGTAAGATGAAAGAGTTTGGGAAGCATTCATAGTTTTAAGCTAAATGAATAATATACACCATTCAGTCTATTTAAATGTTTTTGCTCCATTTTATATAACTTCGCCGAATATCCTATTTTGATTATAGAAAAACGGATTTGACGATTCAAAGTTTTTGGCTTAGGTTTGAACTGACTATTTAAACATGAACGTCAAGCAGAACGTTGAAAAAGAGAATAAAATGCCAACATTTATTCCACTACTTTTTCAACATCTATTAAATTAAATTGGCACAGAGAATATCCTTGTGGTGTATCTAAATCCCTAAAGCAAAGCGAATTTAAGTCTGTTCTGAAATTCTTCAAGAAGAGTGAGTTATTTCTGTTGTGAACTCATGCGGTTTCTTTAATAATTTGTGAGCAAATTAAAATTCCGGATTTGTCATAGCTAAAACACTACAAGATTCGAATACTTTGATAAGAATCTTTACTCATTTCAAACAATTCATGATAAAAAAATCTATACAATTTTGCTACAACATCTTAATAAACAAGCGAATACGAAAGCCCAAATACCCGGTGCTAATTTATCGCAAAATACGAAAAGCACGTGAAATTAGGACTGGATACAAAACCCGGAAGTCGAAGCAAACACAAAAACACGAAAGCGAGGCAAATGTTGCATCCATAAATCTCGGAGAGACATAGCATTCAGCCGTGACGTCAGAATTAGAAAGCGAATATGTTCCATATATTGATCATGAAGTTGAAATTATACATACTTCACAAAAACTTCGCATGTGCATTTGAGTGTGTTTAAAAAAACAATAAATTTTTGTCTCAACCAATCACGAGCATGGTAGTTTTCAATCTTTCCTCAGTATAAAATAATTAAAATCCCTGCCTTGATTTGCCAACACTGCCCAACAGTAAGAAATTTAGTATAAGCATGAGTAAAAGCACCTAAACAGTCAGTTTTTTTATGATACAACTGTACTATACACAATATACATGTACTATGTTATTATATACATGACATACTGATCATGAATTTCACGTACAGTACTATATAAATGACAATAATCATACCACAGTGCACAGTACTATATTCATGACATACTGGGGAAATTCTAAATTTGCGATGGCCAATTGTGCAAATAGGGCAATTGATTGCTACTTTTTCTACACTTTTGCAAATGTCGCAAATTTGGTGATTGCGAGATTTGCCCTGTTTTGAGAAACAACGCCAAAGTGCTACTATACCCCAAGTGTGCATCAAGTAATATATGCTTGACTGCTAATAGAGCAATCACACAGTATATATTTCCTCTAGAAGAAGTGCTATATACTACCCCACCTATCCTGTCCAATGAGGAAAACCACACAGAAAGTAATCTTACCTAATATAGCACTTACAATTATAGAGAATCCTGCTGTCCAAATTGACAAAATCTTTGCTTCAACAATCTTGACAAGATCAACGTGCAATAAGTACACTTAGACAAGAATCAAGGATTTCTATCATTCTGGTTCTGTGATTATAAAGTTAGCCTGCAAAATATAATGATGCATGTGAACAACAATGTAATATTATTCTTCTTTCAGAAATGTAATCTACACTGCATGCATTTATTGGCTATTAATCAGTCTTCAGCAAATATGCTGAGACTGTACCCAAGCTAGGCCACTGTTAATCCCTGCAATCTGTTCACCTACACTTAGACAAATACCTTTCTGTCATTTTATTCATTTTGGGAAACTGTACTCATTTCAACCAATCAGAATTTATTGCTAAAAAATAGAAAAAATAATTATTTTAAACCTGTATACTGGAAATTTTTCAGACAAAGAGCAATCAAAATGAAGAATAATTGATATAGCTGCTAATAATCCTGTATGATTTAACTTCAAATAATGACCAGAAAATGTCATTAAAATCTACATCTACAGGATCAGCTGTGAGGTTGGTTATAATTCAAGTTGTTCTTAACTCCTCGGTATAGAAAAATGTTAAAATATATTACCGGCAGGCAGATCTGATAGACCGATGGGAAAAATGCAATTCTCCAACTCAATCCAGGTGGAAAGATGTTTACAAATCATGCATTTTGGGACTGTCAATGAGAGATGGCAATTGTGGAAGGATTACTGAATTATGCATTAGTGGTGAAATTTACCCTTTAGGAGTTGTATTCCTCAATCTTTCTTCTGGAGGAATTAAAATTTAAACCCCAAGAAATCTGTCTCCTGGGGATTTCCATTTTAAAAAATGCTACCACTTAACCATTTTTGGTCAAGGAGGCTATTCCAATAAGTAAATGTGTCATTAAGAACCCAGAATTGAATTCAGCCTGGGTGACTATAGTTTAGGGTTGACATTTTACCAAAGCTTCATTGCTATATAAGTTTAAGCTACACGACTTGAGGGCCCAAATTGGATTAGCTTCATTCATGCAGCTATAGCTCAAAATGCATGACAAGTTATCGTTCAAACGAAGAGACTTATGGTTGTTTGTATTAATAGACACACACACAAGCATAAGATATTTAATCCAAGGCTGAAAACGCTCCATATGTAATAAAGCCCTGACAAATATTTTGCTTCTAGGAATTGTACTCACGTAATTAATGCCCCTTGTGTCTGTATGTATATGAAAGTCCCACAGTCACAGGGTCGCGCTACCAAGAAATTCCAACTTTGCTGAGAAATCGTATTCTTAAAATCGCGAATTCTGAAATTCCACCAAGGCCAAGGGTTTTCATATTAATACAATAATATGAGGACAACAAAGTATTTTGATAACCGCTTCTTAAATTAAATAAAATAAGCCATTTGGTGTACCCGAAATTATTGTAGAAATATTATATATCAAGCAAACTAACATCACAAATAATAAACACAATAATACAAAGAAAATGACTGAATTCCTCGAAGAGCTGTGGTGCGGTAGTCGAGTGTACCACCGCTTCCGGTCAGGGTTTTACAACTTATTTGCATATGGCTGCCCTCATAGGGGGATAGTAATGACAAAAAACAAACAAACTATTAGAGAAACAAAGAACTTTTGAAAAAATACATAATATATAATTTTAACACAGCCGACGGCCCTGTATACCTCGAGATTTCATTTCGTTTTCAGCCAGGGCAAAATTATTGTAAATTTAATTATGTGATATTTTAAAAGTTTCATGTATCATGCTTCTCATCACCCTGCAGGATATAACCCCTTCCTGTTCTGTTCGATCGAGATAGAGGGAAAATAATAAAATACAGTATACCCCCCCCCCCAAATGAAGCGGTATATATGCGGGCAAATGCGGCCCTAGCAGGTATTAAGTGATAATCAGTGATGTGTCTGCCATACTGCGGTCAGTTCATCGAAATGTTGATGACGTATGATGATGGTCAGGGACGCCTGAGTGGTAAAAAGATAAAAGGGATAATGCCAGCACGAAGGACGGTTCGTAGAAAATTCGCAGCGACACGCTTTTAATTAGCCTGCTCGCAGATTGAATTAAAGTGGAAGTTTATGATTGTTATTGCAATTTGTGTGTGCGTGCTCAAACAATCCACCCTAACTTTCCCAATATGATAGCTGTACATTGGCAATCCTATGAAATTTGGAGAAGATCAAACCCACAGTTTACAGTTTTTGAAGTTTGCTCGAAAAATTTTCACAATTCTAGTGCAACGGTTCTAATCTATTAGTAGCAAATATGACAAAACTCTCCTATAAAGAGTTGTAGTGAATGGTGGATTAACTAAGTCTAAGTCCTATTTATACTAACTCTCCTGACGAATGCCGTTACGTCGAAGCGTAGAGAAGTGTTTTGTCTATTTTAGGAAGTTGTTATACCACATTTGATGCACAAGTCCTATTTAGTTGAAACTTGAAAATTTTCACTTCTCATCATCACTTTTCGCCTGACGATGCCTATATTTTAGTTGAAATATACAAAATTAAAATTTTACTTTTTATTTTTACTTTTTACGGAATTTTTACGGTTCTATAGTTTTAATAAGAAATTAATTCGAATCAATCTTCAGTGTACGAAATGAAAGAACAAAAATGGCAATGGCGACCAAACGATATGAAAACTTCCGTGCATCACCTGCTGGACCGTTAAGCCATCTTCATTGCTACAGACGTACGTGACGTATTCAAGATAGAATATCAAATAACAAGGGAAATTCCCTGTGCGATATTCGCTTTCATTTTGAAATTATATGACAAAACTGTGAAGACTGGGTCTTCCGATTTCTAACTTCTCCGTAATCCTTCAAAATCTTATCTTGAGACCATTGTAAGGAACACTTTGGTTAATAGAACAATTCCATCCTGGTTGAACATGAAATAAAATCGAGGTTCGTATTTGATATATATTGTTTTGATTGTTTTGGTCACGAGTCACATTCCAATCAGTGCTTGCTCACAAAACATCTGGCCGCTCTGTACCCGTTTAAGCCGTGCTTTGCTAACAAATTAAGTGTAGTGTAAACGGGAACTAAGATTTAAAATTGTGTTTAGCAACAGAGTATGAATGAATCGATACTTAACATCCATGAAAGTGTTTCATTACCATGCATGATATTGGCCTCTTATTTAAGGGCCTGTTCATATGAGACGGGCCAGCCCGGTTTAGCCGGGCTAGCACGGCAGTGGCGGGATCTCGCCTCACATGTTATTTTACTTTATTTGTAAAATTGCATTCATATGGAACCAGGCCAGCCCGGCTTTGGCGAGATCTCGCCTGAACAAAGCGAGATCTCGCCTTTAACGGGCTCATATGAAAACAGCAAAAGCGAGCTAGCCCGGCTCAACCGGGCTGGCCCGGCTCATATGAACAGGCCCTAAGACAGGATATCAAATAGCTTGGAATTCCCCGAAGGCGGAACAATATTCGTAGTAATTCGTTTCGAAATTATTAGGCTGTAAATAAAGACAAACTCTTCCATTAAAAACTGTGTCTTTTGAGGAACACTTTGGTTATAGAACAATAATATCCTGGTTGTACAAAACGAGGTTTGTATTTGAATTTGATATTTTGTGTTTATTCTTTTGATCACGAGTCTCAATTGACTCATTGCTTGATCGTATACACACTGATATGTTTGTGGCTGGTTGCGATCAGCGAAGAAGGTTTTGTAGTTTATCTTTCCCCTGTGTCCGTGTATATATTTCATAAGATTGTTGATTTGTCAAAATTTACTTTTACGAATCATTCGCTGAGCGATAATTTTTCAGCCTGCGGTGAAGATGCTTCGAATTACAAAGGAGCACAAGCATAAGCATCTGCGCATTGGAGCGCCGATCCTTGTTCAATCACGTTGGTATTCCCAAAAAAATGGGATTCGAATATGATCGATTGTGATTCGCTGTTAATTTATGAACAAATTGTAATTATTACTCGCGCTCTAGGGGAATGCGTGAGTCTAGGTTTCATGTAAGTCGCGTTTTGGACCTCGATGACCCGGTGATGCATTGCGCACTTGTATCGAAATCTCGCAATATGGGCACTGCTGCGAGGAGTGACGATACCTGACAATACAAGCCACATTTTACAAACAATATACGAAGGATGCAAAATATATATGCACAGAACATATTACTACGGTGCAACGTTTACATATTGTTTGGTGCGATGTTTACTTCCGGCTATATGAAAGCAAGATTTATCATGGATGTTTTGGCAGGCTAGGCTTAGACGTTCAAATGTTTATAAATGATACTTAAATACCTGGGACCGTTTGTATAAAACTCTTAACTACATTTAAGTAGATAAATCGTAGTTACTAGAAAATACATTATTCTGATTGGCCAATTCTGCCCCTAAACGTTAACTACCTTTTTATACAACCGGCCCCTGAATGTGTCAACTGACGACTGACATTATGAACAATACAAATCAGTACTATAATACAACTAGTTTTTTTAAGGCTTTCGTCGGAACTAGAACACTGCACTCTGCAGTCGATATATACAAGCATTGATACAGTAATATGTCACGCCGTGCGGATTGTTAGGCTATACCTATAATCGCGGTACGGCGGGATTTGTGATTTGTGATAATAATGTAAATGTATATTATTTATTTTTCGAGAATTTAGCGTTTAAAATTTTGATAACCTCTTTTAGCACACTATTATAATGTTCCAATGTACGCCAAGAGGTATGTTTCCACCCATTTCATACTTGGATTTAACAAACCTGTTCCAAATAGGCCTGTTGTGGATCCCTTGAGATAAAAATTGTGTTGAGTAACTCTACGACGGTCATATATGGTGAGCTATTTTTCATGCAGATTGACAAGACCATGCACACAGCTGGCATCTAATATAACTGGGTTCTTTCCAAGCTACTTTTGCGGACGAAAGCTGCCATTAAAACACTTCTCAGCAAAGGTTCGCTTTTTAAGTTCTCCGTCAAATTTTGTTAAGTAGAAATTAACAATATCCTCTTAACCATG